GGGTGTCTTTGGTATCACCCAGATTTCTAGAGATGCTCTGTTTGCAAGTGGTTTCATGGCCTGTTCTGTGGAAGTAAAGTAAATTCCTGACCACAGATGAAACTCTACACGCAGAGTTCCCCAGGGGTAACCTGTGGTGGAGATTTCCTTCTTGTGATCCTCCACCCATATGGTTGAATTTATCCCTGAAGTAATTCTACTGATGTTGTTAATATTACATGAGGGATCAATTTCCCTTACCTCACTTGTTTCATTCTTAAAGCCAAAAAGGCCAGACCACTCACTCCAAAAGAGTAAACCACCTTGTTTCCATTTCCACCTGTGCAGCTACAGCAATTTAGAGCCAGCTAAGAACCTGTCCCACTGTCTCTGATGGTGGGTTAGGTTTTATGGTCAATATGGGGATGATTTTCTAGTGAAAGAATAGTCAACAAATAATCCCAACCAGTTTAGAGCTGGATTCAGATTACCTGGATTGAGTTACTGGGGGTTGAAAGTATACAGAACCCTCTCCATCTTAAGGATATTAATAGCAGTTGAATACAAGAGGCAGAAGGTTGTGATGGCATGTGTATTGACCACAGTGCTTGAGATGCATCATTTCTGGGTTGGCTAATAAGGATTAAAGGTCTCACCCCTCCCAGACAGCTGGTAACTGTCTAAGGCTGTTTTAGAAGCCAGGTTTCAGGCACAGAGTACATACTACTGCCCTTTAAGTCCTGAGAGCTACCATTTCTGAGTTAGCCAGAGGCTAACTCTGGTGCAGTACATCCAGAAGCTGTCATTCCTGTGATACATTCCCTCTACTTTCCATCAAGTGCTGCTGACCCTCTTTCCCACAGAACTGCTTTTGCAAAGCAGTGCAGAGGTCCGTGGCTTCCATGCTCCACTTTACATCAGCCACGTGATTTATGAGCAGAAATCCTGTAAAAATGGAATTTCAGCTGCATTTCTTTCACTGACAGGTTGGCAAACATCTTATAAATCACAATGCTAGCACCAAAATCCCGGCCAGTGATCAAGAGATTTTATCAAGCTTTGATAGCCTCCAAAACCAAGTTCCACAGAATCTTTTCTAATTTATTATTAACTTGCTATTAGAAATGTCATTGAACAAACAATATTTAGTGCAATGCCAAGTATACAAAGCATCTGCAACACCTGCAAATAAATTATATGTTGTGATAATCTAAAAATACGTATTTCTTGTTGCATCCTGGTAAGAATGAGGAAAGTAACCTGATTATAAAACCACCACAAATCCTGTGCACCATGTAATCAGTCTCATTTTATGCACTTCACATCTGTGTAAATAAAGCCATTGTTAAAATGTACAAAGAGCTGTGGCATATAATACATGCAGCTATGAAAGCATGAGTGCTGCTACACATTGAGTCTTTAAATGGAAGGTGGCACATCTGCTTTTGGCATAGAAGTGTAAATCAATCCAAGATGTTTATTAAAGTGTAAGTAACAACCTGTCCACATGCTCTTTCCTCCATCCAGCCTTGTTTTTGTTCTTTCTGTTTTTGTTCTGTTATTTTCCTGGCAGTTAAATATGGGCTCTGCACATTGAAAGTATGTGGTGTTTCTTCATGTACGAATAACATAACACATCACATAATATTTAACAAGCATGTGATGGGGAATGGTTTGGACAAAACCCCAAGCCAAAATGAGGTGGGGAGGAAAGGGTAAGTACGAACAGCTACACCACAGTGACTGAAAGTTTATTACTCTGGATAAGACAACCAAGTTTCCTAATATTTTTCAAACCAATAATAAGGCCTAGATTTGATTTCATGTTCTAGCTCTTGGCAATTAGTGAGCAAAATTTACAGCAGTGAAAGATTGTGAATATTTTCTTCCTCATCAATCCCAGGCATGAGCAAGCATTAAAGAAGGGAGTAGTCAATATGGTTTGCCTCTGTATATTTACAAAGGTATATAAACCTTCCACAACCAGGTTTGCCTGAGCACGACTTTTAGGGGCCTCAGTCTTTCAGCACTTGCATGGGCTGCCCAGCAGGAAAGACAACACAATATTGGCAGTAGTCAATATTGGCATCAGAGGTTGGTCCTTTCTGGAGCAATTGCTGATGTATTTGGTCCAGCTTGTAACATGTTTCTCTCCCACTGACTGAGGAGATCTAGGGTGTGCTGTATGAGCAGCAGTCCGAGGACAACAATACCTTTTGTGGGCAGCCTCTTTCATGGGCTACCTTGCATGAAGTAACACTTATGAGACCAGAAGCAGGGAAGAAGGCAGTGCCTCTAGGCTTGAGGGTAGAGCATGAAACATGCAGCAAACCTTCCTTCAAAGGATACACAGGAATGTGTCCTAGGATGCCAGAGGAGAGGGACTCCCCCACAGCTAGGCAGGAGGGAGCAACCCATTCTGTGTCCCAGTGAAGGGCCTACTTTGTAGCATGCTTTTTAGTAATCCCAGGTAGAAATAAAATACCATGGATGTGGTCTTCTTGACTTCCAGGTGGGGAGGTGATAAGAAAGTGATGCTATTCTTCAAGTGCATTTTAGAAACAAGACATGTCCTCTCAGACACTGATCCATTGGAAAGACAATCACTTTTTGTTTACTGGCAGTGCTTTCCTAGCTCGTTTTTAAGAGACACAGTTGGAAAACAGACTGGTTGACACATGATGGTTCAGGAAGGCTCATTGTGCAGAACTGGGAATGGTGAGAAAGCTTTAACAGGGAAGTCCATGCTGAACAGGGAATAGAGACTGCTGGAAGTGTGCCACTCAGTGTTTTATACTTGCACATCTCCAAACATCTCCTGTATCTGTTAATTTCTTTGTTAAAATGGTCAGGATATATTCAAAGGCCAGATTCCATCTGCATATGTTTCAGTGATAATGTTACCTATCAGTTCTGTCCACAAAAGTAGCAAAGATTGCTGCAAATTTATTAATTTGGTCTCTTTTCATAGCTGGAACATAGCTGCACGAGACACCCAGGTGGGTTTGCTCAGCAATATAGAACATACCAGGACAGAATTTATACAGCAGTTACCACTGCAGGCTAGAATTATCTTGATCAGAGTTGTTACAGCATCCTGTTATAACATTTTAGCCAGGGAAAAAATATTAATTAAACTAAATCAAAATACATCGGTAGATCAGAAGAGTGAAAAAAAAAAAAAAAAAAAAGCCTGTAATACTTTCTCCTGTTCATTCCACACAATCTTATCATTTTCTTTTATTTTCTTTTCTTTTCTTCCATATGCCTGATAATGGGACTCTGTGGAACTGAACCTTTAACAAGTGGCTGGTGCCAGCTTTTTGCAGAGTGTCTCAGGTCTCTTCATTTCCATTTCATTTTGTCTTTCTATGGCTGACATATTGTTATTTAAATGAATGCTTTTGAACTCTGATTTTTAAAATGCAAATATGTGCTGCTTCCCTATCGATTATAAAACATCAACACTTCTTTTTCCCTATGAAAAGCAGGATAAAGAGTAATATTCTCAGGGCTGAAGGTCGGTTGGGATCTTACTTTTCTGTCAATTTCAGCTAAAAAAGGGAGACACACACAATGGTAAAGTATCAAAATATTGGCTAAATCTTCCTTCTACCCAAGATATGATTAAAGCAATATAATGTCTTTTAAAGAACAGCTGAGGTAGGGAAAATGCCAAGACACAGCAGAATGGTCACACTACTTTAAGGCATTCTGCATAAGACAGGGGAGCACGTACAGAAGTGCCAGACACTACACGCCTCCAGCAATTTTAAGGTGCCCTATCCAGTCATTCCTTTTGAAGGCCATGACTCATTTTAGTTTGAAAGCAGGTGTCCTCTCATTTTAAAATGAAAGTCATTTACCAGGAACCATAGGCTGAACTTTCAGAAGTTCTTATAGGGAAGTAATGGGCAAGAAGGAAAAAATAAAACAAATTCCTGGCTCCCTTTACTACACTGTACTCATGTGTTCAGGCTGGGGTTTTTCACCTATAATGTCTAGAAATGTACTTTCTAACAAAAGATGAACATGGAAGTTCTCCAGCAATCACATGTCTCCTGGAGCTGGAAATTTCTGCTCACCAAATATTACAAAATCTGCAAAAAACACATCCCATGCCCCCAGCATCAAAAGGGTTGGTAACAACTAAGTTACATCCATACTTAATCTCTGCCAGACCAAGAGGTGTGTGATGCTGAAGCATGTGGACTGTCTCACCCCTCTTCCCATTGGACAAACATCCATCTCGCAGCAAAAAAATGCCACAGTCTGTGCCCACTACCACCTGTGCCAGCAATATTAGCAAACAGACCTCAGAGGCTGAGCTCCCCTTTTAATCACAGAAGTCGTAGTTTTCTTCCAGTGTCAGTAGTTGCTGTTCCAGCCCAGGCTTTCTGCATGTTATCCTTGGACTACTGAAAACTTGAGGTGCTGCTTCCCCTGCAATACCAAATTTATGGATGAGGAGACAACTTCAGTCTGCCAGGTGATAATTTGGCATCCTTATGTCAGTGTTAAAATCCCTGCAGCTGTAAATATTTACTGAAAGTGACATACACTCATATAGTCCAGCTAGCACATTACCATATGAATAAATCTAACCTTAAATAAATCATGTGCACTCCACCTTTTATTCAGTTTATAAAATTATTGCTTCTTGCTCTGAGCATTCTTAGCTTCATATGGATATTCAGAAGTAGACTGACTCATGGTGTGCCTTCATTTCTTTTATAATACAATGTTTTCCTTCTTAGATTTCACCTCTTGCAGCTTTTGCAAAGTTTTGATTTGATAGGACAAGAACAGTGAGGGCATTAGGACCAAGAGAAAGACGCACACATTGCTCTGTATTATGTCTGGCAAAGTGCTTCCTGACTGAGTGCCGTAGTTATGTGTGAAACAAAGTCAGGGACTGACTAGTTCTCATCTGTTGATCACAGTTAACTTGAAGCCTCTGAACGGGGGAGAGCTGTCAGATCTGCTTTCAGAGATACAGCGCTTCAATCCAGGCAGCAACTGGAAACTTTGAAGAAGCAGGATCTACTCTGGAAGGAAACTCTAAGAAATTGAATTTCTTTTCACTTAGAATTTAAAAAGGAAAAAATCAAAACTTTAGTTACTCTTTTCATCAGCTGAACATGCGCTTTCCTAACTAAGCTGGGACTCTGTATAATAAAGGATTTACTTTATCTCACTGGATCCATGCTACGTTTTACTACAGTAAGTGCAATATTAATAGGAATGTTATATTTTGTCTGTAAATAGGGAGGAAAGCACGAAACGGCACCAGTGAAATGTGAGGGGAGCAAAAAAATCCTCTTTGCAGATAGTGAAAACCAGGGCTTTGCTGCAACCTGAGGACTGGAGTCTGAGAAGCATCCAAGTGATATTTAACATGACCATCTGTATCGTTTTGTCACCAACAGCATGTTCTTGAGGAAGAAGTGCAGATATGGATCACGTAAGCTGCAGTTTCTCTTGTTGTTGCTGATGCTGGGCTTTTTGCTACTGATGGTTACAACACTGAATCCACCACCCGACAGCCAGAGCAAAGAAGGGGCTTTCCAGCCCGTGGAGTTCAGCCTCCGGGAAGGGCATCGGACGGACTTTGCGGAGACCCAAGAGATGCTGGAAACCCAGGAGGAGAGCCAGCAGTACTACCCTTTGGACGGGCTATCGCCTTTCATCTCTCTGCGGGAGGATGAGTTGATCGCGGCCGTCGTGTCGCCCACCGGTAAAAGGAACCACAGCAAGGCCAGGAGGGGCTATCGCGTGGTGAAGCAGCAGAGCAGGCGGCCGGAGGCGAGGGTAGAGGGGGACCCGGAGTCCCAGCCCCTGTCCCTTCCTCTGCAGGCTGGGGAAGGG